GGGAGATCTTGAAGTGCTGTTAGTGGAAGCCGTATGTATGTCTTCTATTTTAGCCAGTATTGGACGGCGCGTCGCGCAGACCACCCGTAAATATGGGCCGTCGGCGCTTGATGCTTTACGCAATTGTGGCGCTACTGGAAAGGTTGGTGCATGTGGTACTCATACAGAAAGACACGGAGTTCTTAAAGTGTTGTTCGTTTAATGCCTTGTGTGTATGCCTTCTATTTCAGAAAGCATTGAGCCAGGCACCACGCATGTCGCCAATGAATATGGGCCTTCGGTGCTTGATGCCTTACGCGATTGTGAGGCTGCCTGAAAGGTTGGTGCATCTACCATTCATGCAAAAAGAAATGAGGAGCTTGCAGTGTTGACCGCTCAGTGCTTCACATGTATGCCTTCTGTTTCAGGAAGTGTCAGGCAAGGCATCGCGAAGGCGTTAAGTATGGGCCTTCGGTGCCTGATGCCTTACGTGATTATGGATCTACTGGAAAGGTTGGTGCATCTGCTACTCACGCAAAGAGACACGGGGATCTTGAAGTCTTAGTGGGAGCCACTCGAACGTCGTATACATAACTTCTCTCTCGCGAAGTTCTGGGCGGGATGACACGCACTTTGCTAGTAATTATGATCCCATCTGTGCCTATTGCCCTGCGTGATTGTTCAGTTGGTGCATCCAGTGCCTGTACAAAAACATATGCGGGTCTTGAGCCTAAATCCAAAAACCGTCTTGTGTGATGTAGAGTTCCATTTAAGATGCTTAGTTAACCCTGTTTTCATTTGGAGTGCCAGTTCACCTTTGTAGATTGTAAATGTCAACAGGTAGCAGATTGTCCAACGGGGAGTTTCATAGTTTTTTTTAATAAATTTATTTATTGATCTCATTTCGAGGAGTCGCGATCATGCGGAAGACGTGCAGGAGTCGGCGATCAGTGGCGCGCAATCCTGGCCAGCTGCAACAAGAAGATGAGCTGAACGACAAGGCATCCAGCAAGTTATAAATTGTGATTTATTGTTTGCTTTTGTTCATATTTGCATCAATGTGCTTGCGTAATGTATAAGTGTTTTTTCTTTTTTGTATTGATGTATAGATGTTTTTTTCTTTTAAAGTTAAATATACAAATATTTTTATGTTAGATGTAGAAATGTTTCTGTGTTTTTATGTGAATGTATAAATTTTTTTTTATAAAATGGAGTTGTGCGTGTCGTCGTCGGGGAGCGTAACTTAGTTCGTTTCAAAAATCAGACACAATATTGCCCCATGCAGTCGGCGGACACTAAGTCTCATCTGCGCTTTTGCTGGCTCTCTCTGTAGCGTTGCTTCCGGCTGCACAAGTGGAATTTTCGGTTGTTTAAGTGTGTCTCCAGCGAATCGGTATCGTGAGATCTCCGCAGACTTCCAACTTCTAGGAGGCTGTTTTGAAGACTAAGCAAAATTTGAAGCTTTGAGGATGATTGGGTCCTATCATAAATTCTCTGTTTTCATAGTATTTGTGCATTGCCCGAGTTTGCCAACCCTCCGGAGTTTTTTGTTCTCCATTTCCTCGTCTTACAACATTTCTGGAAAATTTTCCGGTTAATCTGTCGGTGTTTCTCTTCAACTGTCACAACTCGCTTCTTATGCCGTCACTTTGCTTGTTGTTCTTCAGCCGGGCTTGACTGACAGTTTCCGTGAGATGTCTGCCAGAAATGCCAAATTAGATAATTTTTAGATCGGCGAGACCGACCAAAAGGGGCTTCAGCTGTAACATTTTGCTTACGTTCTTTGTTTACCTGTTTTCCTCATTTATTTGTTTGCTTGTTTACCTTTTGTTGACTGCGCAGATTTACTCCTAAGCATCATTGTCTGATGTAGCACACGTCAAATTTGTCGGACTGAGATGAGCTAAGTAATGAGCATCAGCTCGGGTCTTTCGACTCGTTT